GAAAGACACAAGCTCTGGTCCTCAAGCAGGGGGAGCTGCGGATGGGGACAGCAGGTAATGGGGTCATGGGATCGGGTACCACTTATGTTGAAATGCCACTAGGAGGCAGTGGAGAGGGTGGGTGGTTAGCTACCCACGCGTTCTCAGGGCAGTGGTGGGGCTGATGAGGCAGAGCCAGGAGCAGGTGTGAGCCCCGGGTGAGAGTGTGGCCAGTGGTAGAACCGGGCAGGGGGAAGGACTGTTCCTACCGCACAGGCCTGGGCAAGGAGCAAGCGCGGTGATGCGTGAGAGCACCTAGCCCAGTGCCAGGTGGAGAGTGGCTGAGGTTACACTACACTGCGAGGAGCCGGACCGAGATCCAGAGAGGACCAGCAGCCGACCCAGGGTCACGCAGCCAGGCAGTGGTCTCTATCCAGGTCTTGACTTGTCCTGACAGTTCACGTTCAACACTGCCAGGGGTCTGGGCCCAGCCCTGAACTGTTCCAGAGTCATCCTGCTGCCCACCTGCCTGCCCGTGCTCCTCCCTCCTCCCTTGCCTGGCTCCCTTCCTTGTCCTCCCCAGGCCCCCCCTCCTTCCTCTGCTTTCGTGTCCTCCCCCTGCTCACCTCAATACCTGCCCGGACTCTGCCATCTGCCCTCCATCTGCCCTCCCTCCCAGGTCCCTGCCGCCCGCTCACTTCCTCGCGCTCGGAGTGCTGGGCACTCAGCACCGCCAGCTGCCGCCGCAGCTCCTCGTTGCGCTCCAGAAGCATCTTGCCGAGTTCCGCGGCCAGGAGCAGGTCTTTCTCCTTCTGCTGCAGCTGCAGGGCCAGGTCCTCGGGCTCCTCAGGTCCTGGGCCCCCTCCCAGGAATGAGTCCCTCCGCTCCAGCACAAAGGGGAAGAAGCCGTCATCGCCGCTGGGGGAGGTGCCCCCAGAGAGCAGCCCCGACGGAAAGCTTGGCCCGTCTGGAGAGCTCATGGCACCTGCAGCAACTGTGGGGACACGCAGCTAGCTGCAGCACACTCTGTTCTGCAGCCTGACGGGGCTGGCCCCTCGCTGGCTGGCACCTGCCCACTGGCCCTCCCAGGCTTGCCTTCCTGGGCCAGGAAGGGTTAATGATCTGTGTTTGGGCCACCCAGCTCCGTTAATGTCCCCGGGGTAAACTGAGGTAGGAAGCAGCAGGAAATAAGCTGCCTTGCCTTGGCCTCTGCCAGACATTCTCTGTCCCCAGGAAAACTTGTCCCAGTGCTCCAGGACCACAGGCCACCCTGCTTCCTGTACTCTGTTCCCAGAACCTAGCTGTGCAGCCCGCAGCCCCTCTCCATCTGGAAAACGATTCCCAGATCCCAGGTTCGTAGAGACTTGGTGCTCAGGGCTGAGTCCAGCCCCTTCCTTCCTCCCAAGAACGCAGGACCCTAGCCCTTGGGAACTGAGGCGTCCGACCCCTGCTGCAGGAATCCAGCACCCTGCCCTTCCAGGAGCCCAGGTCCCCGGCTCCTCAGGACCCAGCTCCAGCCCCTGACCCCGCAGCTGTCCTGGCCCTCGTTCTCCCATTTCCTCAGGACCTAGGCTTTGGGATTCTACCCTCCAGCCTGAGGTCCCCATGCCCAATGTCCACCCTTCCTGGATTTCCCTTCCAGTCCCTCATTTTCCTCAGGGCCCAGTTTTCCCGCGCCAGCCCCTCCAGACTCAGGAGCCCTGAGCCCCAGCTCGCCAGCTGCCCTGGCGTCAGGCCCGGGACAGGGCGAGGTAACAGGTTGGGCCAGCCAGCTCCGCTGCCTCCGCCACTCAGGGTTTCTGTTTACTTCCCAGCCGGGCCCTGGGGACGCGAGGCCCGCGCTCCCCTAGGGCCGCCTGGGGCCCCGAGGCTAAGGGGCTCCGGAGGGAGGGAGGGCCCGGCACAGACGCTGACCTGCTCCAGCCCTTCCGAAGCTCCCCACGCGGGGCACACGTACGCGTGCTCACCTGTCCGCCGCCTCCCTTCGCCAGGTGTGCAAGCAGGTGCGCAAGCGCAGCCCTGCTCTCAGTGCTGCGGTGGGGGTGGTCCCAGCCCAGCCGCCCCCGGGTCTCCCCGCCGCGGCCCCGCCCCCACCCCCACCTGCCCGGGAGTCCCGGGCCTCCCTGGCCCTCCCCCTCCCGCCCCGAGCCGCAGCCGAGCACCTCAACCCCGCGTTCGGGCCCCAGGCCCTGGGCCCTCGGCCCCCGACCCCCAGCCCCAGGCATCCGAAGCTAGCCGTCACCTTCCTTGTCGCCTGCGTCCCCCGCTTCCCGGCGGTCCCAGGAGTCCGCCCGAACCCTGGCTTCCCCTCCCTTCCTCCTCCATGCCCTCTCCTCCCCCGCCGCTGTGGCAGGGCCACTCGAGCCCCAAGCTCGGGGAGCCCCGCCCCTGGCGCCCCTTAGGCTCTCACCCGCCGCTGGGCTCCCTCAGAGGTCCCCGCGGTCCCTGTCCCCTCTTCCGGAGGCGGCACCAGGTGCGCGGCTGGCACAGGTGCAGGGGCGGTGCCGCGGGAGGGGCAGGGGCGCTCCCTAGTGGCCGGAATGGCCAGGCGGGTGGAAGGAAAGTCGCCTCCGCATTGGTCAGAGACACCGGCCCATCCTGCTGCGGCTGGAAATGACCTCCCGGCAGACTAACTGAGCAACTACTGTGTGCAGATCCTACACCGAGCATAGACGTCAGCTCCTTGCCCCCTCGCGTAGGATAGGAAATGTATCAATAATGGGAACAATGACAAATCTATCAGATATTAAGCACTCTGCTAAGAAAGCTCTTGTATAGGCATAACTTGTCTATTTCATGACATCCCAATGGAGCAGGAACTACTATTATCCTCATTTTACAGATGGGGAAGCTGAGGCTCAAGGAGGCCATCTAACTCACTTGGAGTTCCCCAGGCAGAACTGCAATGTGAACAGCAGCAGTGTGACATCAGGGTCATGCTCTTTACTGATTGCCATGCTGCAGATGAGGACACTCCTGGTAGCCACACCCAAGTCTGTGTGGCTCCAAATTTAGGGCCATCAGTTTCTGAGTTGTGCAGAGCTGGGCACATGCTGTAGCCTGGGACAGAGGGCTTGGGATGGAGACGGGAGGATCCACAGCTGGGGTCCTGGGTCCAGCCCAGTGGAGCTTGGGCTTGGGTTGATGCTCCAGCCATGGCCTTGTAGCTTGTCATGATTTCCTTCAGACCTCTAGGGCTCCCTGGGCCTTGTGACAGGCACTCCTGGCCCAGATAGCAGGACAAACGGAGGGCTGGGAGCAGTGACGTGCTGGTGGCTGTTTAACAACAGGCTCTCCGGCTAAAACAAAAGCCCTGATTTGTTTCGCTTGCCACTTTCCGCAGTGTAAGTGCTCCCCCCTCGGCCGATTTGAAGCTATGACATGACATCACTGAGTGAAGCTGGAGGGGACACGCATGATCAGCCCTGGCCCACCAGGATCAGCCGGGTCCACACACCTCCGCCTGGGGGTCAGGACTCCTGACTCTTGGGGGGCAGGGGCCTACTTACCAGGGTTCTAGAAAAACAGGAGGGTGGGAGCTAGGACTCCTGGCTTGTGGGAAAAGGGGTGCAAACACTCCTTGGACAGGTGGTTTCGGGCTGGGACTCCTAGGTCCTGGGGCTGGGACAAACTTTCCTGCTGGGGGAGAGTAGGGGGTGCCAATTCAGTGCAAAGGGAGCCAGACATTCATCTTAGAGCCTCCTTGCCCAGCACTGCGGGAGCAGCCTGGTAGACTCTGCAGGGCTGAAGACATCCCGGCCTCCCCTGGGTGCTGCCACCTGACCCCTTGGACAATATAAGCTCAGTGTTCCCTCCAAATGCCAGAGTCACCCTGGCCCCCACTCACACCACACCCACAGGGGCGGGTCTCATCTGGAGCTGAAATGGTCAAGGCCCTGCTCCCAGGAGGGTCACAGTCCACCCAGGACGTGGGAGGCGGTGTAGACCTATAAACCAGAAACGAACCAATAAAACAATACAGCAAAGGAGCTTGGCGCTCCTGGGTGCTGGCATCACAGGGCCGTGGCTTCAGTCCAGATTCCAGTTTGGCCGATTACCAGATGTGCATGTCTGTGCCATTCAGCTGATTAACCTCAGCCCTCAGCTTTCCTGTCTGTAAAATGGGGGTGATAGTGCTCTGTCTCATAGGGGTGTGAGGATTAAATGAGGGTGAAGTGCCACACTTAGTCCTTGCTGGTGATGCTCCGCATGGCCACCAGAGGTGACTCATCTTCATGTTGCGTTGTATTTCATCCTCACAGCAACCCTATGAAGTCACATCATTCACAGATGAGGAAACCAGCTGAGAGGCGAAGTTATTTGTCTGTGGGTACATGGCAAACTCTTCATCCCAGCTTGCCTGGCTCTCAGGCTCAGTCGCTATTTGGACATTTGACTCTCGTCCCCAGCCTCCTCTGGACCCAGGAGTCTTGGCTCCCAATCTCCCTTCCACCCAGCACTCGGAGCCCCCCAGCCCTCCCCTACGTAGCCTCCCCGCTGACCCCAGGAAGAAGATGGATGGAGGATACAGTGGGCCCAGGGAAGTCCTGGGGAGGCCAGGACCTGTCTGGATAAGCCGGGAGGGGTGATCGCCCTGCCCTCACCCACTCTGCAGCCTGGTCCCCAACCAAGCCAGCTTCCTAGAGCCTCCAGCCGGTGCTCAGCCTGGGATGCCCTCCCCGCCTATCCACCCGGTGAGCTCCTAGGGCTGCAAGTCTCCACTGGGCATTGGGGCAGGGTCTTCTCCCTGGGGAAGCCTTCCTGGATCTCCCTGGGCAGTCTATGCTGGGTACCCAGAGGCCAACAGATGCTCACTGCCCTCCCTGCCCTCACAGAGGCCACCCAGTGGGAAGTGGCTCCAGACCAAAGCCTCTCCAGGCTTTGATGATGTATATGAAGTCTGTGAACAGTAAGTAGTCTTGCTTGGGGCATTTCAAACCTTTATATAAAATATTTCACACTGAACACACTGTTCTGCAACTTGCGCTTTTTTTGAGACAAAGTCTCACTCTGTTGCTCGGGCTAGAGTGCCGTAGTGTCAGCCTAGCTCACAGCAACCTCAAACTCCTGGGCTCAAGCAATCCTTCTGCCTCAGCCTCCCGAGCAGCTGGGACCACAGGCATGCACCACCATGCCCGGCTAATTTTTTCTCTATATATATTTTTAGTTGTCCAGATCATTTCTTTCTATTTTTTAGTAGAGACAGGGTCTTGCTCTTGCTCAGGCTGGTCTCGAACTCCTGAGTTCAAATGATCCACCCGCCTCGGCCTCCCAGAGAGCTAGGATTACAGGCGTGAGCCACCGCGCCCGGCCTGCAACTTGCTTTTTTAATTTAACCTTATGTTTCCATGATTTTTCCCAACTTAACAATAAAATCAGCTTTACTGAGGTGGGTATTACTTTCCTAGGGCTGATGTAACAAAATACCATGCACTGGGCTTACACAACAGAAGTTTGTTATTTCACAGTTCTGGAGGCCAGAAATATGAAGTCAGGGTTGAATCCTTCTGGAGGCTCTGAGGGAAAATCTGTTCTATCACCTCGTTTCTGGAGATGGCAGGTAACTCCTGGCATTCCTTGTCCTGCAGCTGCATGGATTCAATCTCTTCCTTCATTTTGGCACAACCTGCCCCTCTAGGTCTTCTCCTCTGTGTTTCTGTGGCTTAAATGTCCCTCTACTTTCTTATATATATATATACATATATTTTGAGAGAGTCTTGCTCTGTTGCCCAAACTAGAGTGCAGTGGCATCATCATAGCTCACTGCAACCTCAAACTCCTGGGCTCAAATGATCCTACTGCCTCAGCCTCCCAAGTAGCTGGGACTACAGGTGTGCACCACCAAGCCCAAATAATTTTTCTATTTTTTGTAGAGACGGGTCTTGCTCTTGCTCAAGCTGGTCTTGAACTCCTGACCTCAAGAGATCCTCCCACCTCGGCTTCCCAGAGTGCTAGGATTACAGGTGTGAGCCACCACTGGCCAAATCTTCCTCTACTTTCTCTAATAAAGACACCACTTGTTGGGCCCAGCACTTTGGGAGGCCAAGGCAGAAGGGTCTCTTGAACCCAGGAGTTTGAGGTTACCATGAGCTATGATCAGGCCACTGCACTTTAGCCTGGGTGACAGAGCTGAGACCCTGTCTCAAAAAAAAAAAAATTTATATCTGTATGTGTCTGTGGTAACATAACTACCACCACAGGAGATGAATGACCCCAAAAAGTTTCCCATGCCCCTTTGCAATCTCTCCCCCAACCCCTAATCCCTGGCAACCACTGATCTGCTTTCTTTCACTATAGTTTTGTCTTTTCCCAAACACCCTATAAATGGAATCATACATACAGTAGTATACAGTCTTTGTGGCTGGCTTCTTTGACCTAACATACTGCTACTGAGAGTCATCCATGTTGCAATGTGTCGGTAGAATCAATAGGTTTGAAAATTTTCAAACTAAAGAAAATTAGCCAGCTGTGGTGGCCTGCAGCTGAAGTCCCAGCTGCTCCAGAGGCTGAGGCAGGAGGATCGCTGGAGCCCAGGAGTTCAAGGCCGCAGTGAGCTGTGATCCAGTCACTGCACTCCAGCCTGGGCGAGGGAGCGAGACCTTGTTTCTAAAAAAAAAGAAGTGATTATGTTATTAACAAAATGAGACCACTGGGGTGGGCTCTTCTGAGGAAGGGTGTCCTCATAAGAAAAGGAAGAGACACCAGGGGTGTGTCGCGCACAGAGGGACGACCACGTGAGGAGACAGCCAGAGGGTGGCCGTCAGCAAGCCCAGGAGAGAGGCCTCAGGAAAAACCAAGCCTGCGGGCACCTCGGTCTTGGCCTTGCAGCCCGCAGAACTGCAAGAAAACAAACTCCAGTTTAAGCGACCGGCTCTGCATGTTTTGTTCAGGCAGCCCCGCCAGGCTGAGGCAGGATCTGTTTCAGCTGCGTCGCCAGCGCGCTCATCGGCTCACTATTTACTTTGTCTAAAATCTAAAGGGGTCGCCCTCGCTGCTCCCCTCCCAGCGGCTCCCGGACTGAGCAGCGAAACACGCGCACCTGGCCCTCGCCAGGAAGGCCCCCTCCCGGGTTCCTCCGGATCCTTCTCCGCCGCCGGCCTCGCAGCCAGGTGTCCCGGTGCGGGAGGGGCGGCTCTGCAGGTCCCCAAGTCTCCATTTCCCGTTCTCCTCCCTCCCGCTCCTCTGTCCCCCGCTGCCGGCACCGGGCAGGCAGGCCTACAGCCTCTGCGTGGCGCTTATCGGATTTAAATGTCCCTAGCACCCGGGGAGAGGGGGCGCGGCCCGGGGCAGCCCCTGCGTCTGGGATCTAGAGGCGCCGAGAGCACAGGGTACAGGGACACGCGCGCGCGGCCGCGTGGGCTGGGGCATGAATATCCGGACCTGGGGCAGCCGCGGCGGCGCGCACAGGGGCTCCGGCCTGGACGGGCGGGGGGCGGGCCGGGACCCCGCCGAGAGGGGCGCTTCCTTCCCAGCCTCCTGCTGCCCGGAAATCCCCCCGGCAGCCGACGGCTCGCAGCAGGGGGTCCCCGGGAAGGCGGCGGGGAAGGGGGAGTGGGCTGCAGCGGGGGAGCCCGGGGCCGTCCCTCCCCGGGGCAGCGCGGCTCTGAGAAAGCAGAAGCGAGTCCTGCTGCGGGGAGTCCCACCAGAGCCGCGATCCGGGAAGAGAAACTTGCGCACCGTGTCGTGGGAGGAGAGGCCGAGGCGGCTGCCGGGTTGCTCCGGGCCGCCCCCCACCCGGGCGTCCTGCGGGTCGCCGGCGCTTTGAAGCTCTGGGGGGAGGGTCCGTGGGTCCTGGCGTGCGGCGGGGGCCACCGCAGGGCCCGCCCCCTCTCTCTGGAGGTCGGAAGATTGGGCCACTTCCCCCGCCGCGCCCTTACCGCTCACAGAGGTGCGCCCGCCCCGCCCGGCCCCGCCCGGCCCTCCGCTCGCGCCCGGCGAAGAGGGGCCGCCCGCTCAGCTTCCCGGCGGGGACAGGACCAAGCCCGGAACCTCGAGAGGCCGCCACAGCGGAGCAGGAGTCCCGACCTCCGCCCCCTCCTTCTCAACCCTCCTGGGACCCCCAGCCTTACGCGACCCAGCGAGCGACCCCAGCCGGGCCCTCCGCTGACTCTGCCGCGCGCCGCCCGACACTCTATCGTGCCTTGCGGGCCCGCGGACCCGTGACAGTCCTGCCCCCCTCCTACCCCGCGCCAGGTCCCCCCGACCCTCTCTGGGCCCGGACCTCCTCCCGGTACCCGGGCCGGCTGGGTCAGGTCCCTTTCGAGCCGCGCGGGCTGACCCGGCTGGAACGCGCCATGCGGCTGCAGGTGCTGCGGGCCCGGCTCCCGCTCCTGGCGCTGCTGCTGCCGCTGCTGCCGCCACCCGCGCTTGCCCCGAAGCCCGCAGCGCAGGACGTGAGCCTGGGCGTGGTGAGAGCGGGGTCCGCGGGCTCCTGGGATCGGCAGGGAGGCTGGGAGAGGGAAACTGAGGGCCGGGACTGCTGGGGCAGGAGAAGGTAGGGGGCCGGATTCAAATGCCCAAAGTGACCGAGGATGGAGTCTGGGGACCCCGAATCTTGGATCCGTCAGGAGATTTCAGGCCTGGATTTGGAGATCTGGAAAGGAGCCGGGGGCCGGACTCCTGGGTCCACACAGACTGGCAAACCCAGGGCTGGGAGGGCACCCTGGGAGGGGCTCGCTGGCATCGGGGCTGGGGACCCTGGGCTCCAGGTGCCTGGGAGGGGAGGGCCTTCCAGGGTGGTGGTGGGCAGGGAGAGCCCATCCCCTTTACCCTGCCCGCTTCACCTGTCCGCTCTGATGGCCCAGGACTGGCTGACCCGCTATGGCTACCTGCCGCCACCCCACCCCGCCCAGGCCCAGCTGCAGAGCCCTGCTAAGCTGCGGGATGCCATCAAGGTCATGCAGAGGTTTGCGGGGCTGCCGGAGACAGGCCTCATGGGTAGGTGGCCCCCACCACTCCCCAGCCCTGCCTCTGCGCGGCTCCCCCTCCGCTGCGATCTAACCCTCCTCGAGCTCCTTCGACGTGGAAGTCCGGGGGGTGCTGATGTCAGGTCCCCACCTGGGAGGTTTCAGACATTCATCTTACATAAACATCTAGGGAGAATCGCTGACGGGCCAAGCCACTCCAGGCTCCGCTGGTACAGTGGTGAACAAAGTAGAAACAGTGCCTGCTCTCATGGAGAACATATATATATTCTTAATCTTACAGATTAAGAATATATATATGCAGGATTATTTCAGATAGTGGTGAGTGTTTTGAAGAAAATAAAGTGCTAATGGTATTGAGGGGCTGTTCTGCTCAAGGAGGGCCCCTCTGAAAGATGTCACATGAGCAGAGACCACAAAGAGGAGGAGCCAGCCATAGGAAGATGTGGGAGAAGAGTGTCCCAGGCAAACACAGAGGCCCTGTGGCACGCAAGAGTCTGTGAGCCTGGAGCGAAAGGAGGGCTGAAGGGCTTTGGCAAGAGCCTCATCTAGGGGCCATGAAGCTGTTTGGGTTTGATACCGAGGATGATCCAAAACCTTGGAAGTGTTCTAAGGAGGGAAGCAACTCAGTCTGATTTGCATGCAGTTTTGTTGTTGTTGCTGTTTGAGACAGAGTCTCACTCTGTCACCCTGGGTAGAGTGCTGTGGTGTCATCATAGCTCACAGCAGCCTCGATCTCCTGGGCTCAAGCGATCCTCCTGTTTCAGCCTCCTGAGTAGCTGGGACTACAGGTGCCACCACACCTGGCTAAATTTTCTATTTTTAGTAGAGACAGAGTCTCACTCTTGCTCGGGCTGGTCTCCAACTCCTGAGCTCAAGCAATCCTCTTGCCTCGGCCTCCTAGAGTGTTGGGATTACAGGTGTGAGCCACCACCCAGTCTCATTTGTGGTTTTAAGCTTCTTCTGGTTGTTGATGGAGGAGGAAGGGCAGGAGCTCCGAGACCAGGAAGGAGGCAGTTGTAGTCCAGGAGAGGGATGTTGGTGGCCTGGAGTGGGGGTGGTAGATGTGGCCAGAAGCAGTTGAATTTTGGGGTGTATATTTTAGAAGTAGTTGAAAGATCCTGGCTTGCTACAAAGGCAGGCAGGACCTTTTTTGTGGTCTTGTCCAGTCTTGTGAACAGTCTAGAACAGTGCCTGGCATCTCTATATCTCAGTTACTGTTTGTCATCTCAACAAATGAGGTGTGGTTTGACCTTAATTTGAAGATGAAGAGGCTACCTGGAATGGAGCTGACCTGGGGAAGGGGACTCCAGGTGGCTCTGACCCGAGAGGGGCTGGTCTGCCACAGGAGACAGACCCAGGCGGCCTGGAGACTTTGGACTTAGGATGCAAGGGGGACTTGGGAGCACCGGTGTGGGTGTGAGCAGCTCGAAGGGGGTTCCAGCCTCAAAGAGAGGGGTCCTCCCTGCACCCCAGGGCTCCTTTCTCCAGAGGCCACCCATGAGGGTCCAGAGAAACAGGACAGAAGATCCCAATCTGAGCTTCTGAGCACCACCTGGAGGCAGCCAGTCCCCCCAGGGCCAGGCGGAGAGGGCGAGGCCACTGAGAAGGAAGCAGTAACAGCGTGGTGTGGGCTGGCTTCAACTCCAGATGACGGGGCCTTCTTGGGCAAATTTCTTAACCTTTCCAAGCCTCAGTTTTCCCACGTAGAAAGTTAGCTGGTGCCATGATTAAGTCCGGCTGTCCTACTGCTGACACCCCCCAACTGTCTCCTGCAGACCCAGTGACAATAGCCACCATGCACAAGCCCCGCTGCTCCCTGCCAGACGTGCTGGGGGTGGCAGGGCTGGTCAGGCGGCGGCGCCGGTACGCTCTGAGTGGCAGCGTATGGAAGAAGCGAGTGCTGACATGGAGGTAGGGCCCGTGCCCACCCACGTCCCGGGCCTTCCTGCAGGGCCCCAGCTTTGACTGGCCACCCTCACTCACCCCTCCTCTCTCCCCAGGGTTCGTTCCTTCCCCCAGAGCTCCCCGCTGAGCCAGGAGACTGTGCGGACCCTCATGAACTATGCCCTGGCCGCCTGGGGCGTCGAGTCGGGCCTTACATTCCACGAGGTGGATTCTCCCCGGGACCCAGAGCCCGACATCCTCATCGACTTCGCCCGGGCCTTCCACCAGGACAGCTACCCCTTTGACGGGATGGGGGGCACCCTGGCCCATGCCTTCTTCCCCGGGGAGCATCCCATCTCCGGGGACACTCACTTCGATGATGAGGAAACCTGGACTTTTGGGTCAAAAGGTAAAACCTCCCCTCTTTGGAGAGGTCCTTTCCTCAGGTCAGTCTGTCCTCAAGAATTAGGTTTAGGGGCCGGGCGCGGTGGCTCACGCCTGTAATCCTAGCTCTCTGGGAGGCCGAGGCGGGCAGATTGTTTGAGCTCAGGAGTTCGAGACCAGCCTGAGCGAGAGCGAGACCCCGTCTCTACTAAAATTAGAAAGAAATTAATTGGACAACTAAAAATATATAGAAAAAATTAGCCGGGCATGGTGGCGCATGCCTGTAGTCCCAGCTACTCGGGAGGCTGAGGCAGGAGGATCGCTTGAGCCCAGGAGTTTGAGTTTGCTGTGAGCTAGGCTGACACCAGGGCACTCTAGCTCGGGCAACACAGTGAGACTCTGTCTCAAAAAAAAAAGAAAAAGAATTAGGTTTAAATTACGCCCACTGATGATGAGGCTGTAGCAGGTGGGGGTCTCCAGAGAAACGGAACCAATAGGGGGTATGTGCGTGTGTGTAAAGAGATTTCTGTTAGGGAATGGCTCACGGCGAGTGTGGGAGCTGCCAGGCTGGACCTGAGGCAGGATTTCTGTTACGGTCTTGAAGCTGAATTCCTTCCTCTCCGGGAAACCTCAGTTTTTGCTCTTAAGGCCTTGAGCTGACTGACGAGGCCCCTACATCATGGAGGGTGATCTGCTTTACTTAAGTCAACCGATCATAGACATTGACCACATATAAAATACTCGCACAGCAACAGCTAGACTGGCGTTTGGCCAAACGACTGGACACCATAGCCAGGCACCAGAGCCAGACTGAATTGCCACGTAAAATTAACCATCACAGAGACCTATCAGCTGCCCAGCTCCAGGCTAGGGCTGAGGACTTACAGAGAAGAAAACAAGTCTCTGTTCAGCAGCTGAGTCAGAAGAGCGACCGGCAGTTACTACACACATGGTGACACAGTTACACGGAATCGCAGCAGAGGAAGTCCTCGAGCCTGCGGGCGCTCAGGGCAGAAGTTGACCCAAAGGTCTTGGGCGAGGGGAGGCTTCCTGGAAGGGGTGATCCATTCACACCTCTGTACACTGCACGGGACAGACAGACAAGGTCCTGCTCTCCCTGGTGCACGGGGTGGGTGATACAGCAGGAAGTGCGGCTGGCCGAGTCCGAGGCAGTCAGGGATAGAAGGACCCAACGAGGGGAGACACAGCCAGGGACCTCCAAGGCCTGAAGGAAAAATAGAGCATCAGGCTGGGCGTGATGGCTCAAGTCCGTAATCCTTAGCACTCTGGGAGGCCAAGGCAGGAGGATTGCTTGAGGCCAGGAGTTTGAGACCAGCCTGAGCAAGAGCGAGACCGCATTTCTACTAAAAATAGAAAAATTGGCCGGGCATGGGGGTGCACATCTATAGTCCCAGCTACTCAGGAGGCTGAGGCAGGAGGATGGCCTGAGCCCTGGAGTTTGAGGCTGCAGTGAGCTATGACAAGCTACGGACGACACTCGAGCTCAGACAACAGAGCAAGAACCTGTCTCCAAAAAAAAAAACAAACCATCTGTAGGGAGATTGCAGAGGATGGAAGGTCCCATATCACAGAGGTCTTGGAAAGGTTGTGGAAGTTTGCACCAGGGCAAAGGCACTGAAGGCACTGGGGAGCTATTGAAGGGTTTTACATTCTAGAAATCTCCCTGGCTGCAGTGGGGCGTCAGGATAGAGGCAGGGAAGTGGGAGGTTCTTGCAGGGTTCCCGTAAGAGATGGTGCAGTAAGAGGTGGTTGATCCTGGAGGAGGAGGCAGTGGACAGATAGCGGGAAAAGTCAGTTAGGAAGGACAAAGATTAGGATCTGGCTGGGCCCTGGGGACAAGGGAGATGAGGAGAGCGGGATGACATCCAGGTCCAGCTCAGGCCCCAAAGACAGCCAACTGTTAATGGGGTGGGAAGTGTGTGGGAGGAACAGGCTGGCAGCAGGTGGGTGAGTGCAGGTTTAGACGGGGTTTGCCCATCTGGGGTAGGCAGTTGAGGACGCTGCTCTGGAACTTGGACTCCTCTGTCCTAGGTCAGGTTCCCCAGAAGTGGAGCTCCAGATGGAAATTCTTGTGGGCTTCCAAGAAGAACTCAAACAGGGTGCCTCCACTTGCAACGTATAAGTTACTTAACCTCGTTGTAGTCAGTTTCGTCATCTGAGGAAGGGAGATAAACAGTATCCGCTGGCAGTGTGGGTTTGTGGGTGACATGAGCGATGCACCCGCAGCTCCCAGCATGGGACCTGGCCGGGAGCTCTGCTCTGGGCATTGCCAGCTGCCGTCAGAGCTGGGCCTAGGCAGATTTGAGAGTCAGCAGTCTGTGGGGACTGGGAAGGTTCCTGGGAGGAAAGTGAGACTGTGAAGGTCAGATTCAGAGCCATGGAGAGCACCATGGGGTAGCACTAAGGGGCAGGCAGCAGGGGAAGGGGAATCGCTGGAGATGGAGACAGAACAGCGAAAGCGATCAAGAGCAAGAGCGAAGAAGGAAGTAGTCGGCAGTGACCAGAGCAGCAAACAAGGCCAGGGAGCTACATGGCCTGTGTTTGCTCATCCAGGGGCAGTGTGACCTTGGTGCCTGCAGGCTCAGTGGGCAGGGGAGGAATCCGGACCACAGTGGGGTTAGGCTTGAGAGGAGCAGAGGAAGTGGAGACTGAGTTTAGACCACTGGCCTAACAACTTGGCTGGGGAGGGAGGGGAGAGCAGTGTGGGGCGTGCAAGGAGGGCCCTAGGATGAGCCAATAGCGAGAAAGGGGTGGGGGAGGGGTGGGGGATGGTGGGTGGACAGATGCATGCAGGGATGCAGGGATGGATGGGTGGGACAGTGTCCTTGTCCTGGAGGAGGTGATTGAGGCAGGGTTCTTGAGGCAGGGTAGGGGACAGGAGGTGAGCACAGGGGAGATGAAGCTATCGGCCCTGGGCATACCGGAAGTGACACTTTGCATGGATGGCTGGCCTTGATGAAATAGGAAACACATTTGTCAGCATTTGTGACTTGAGAGCTGGGGGCTGGGGCTGGGTGGAAGCTTGAGGGGCTGTGGGCCCTGAATGGAGGCTGAGGGGGGAGCACGGGGCAGGTGGAGGAGGAGGGCCAGGCCCCCTGCAGACTGCCCTCCAGGAATCTGGGGCTGGGCCTGCTTGGTGGCTGGTGGCTGTGGTTGTGTTGCGTAATTTCCTCGAGTTGTGTCGCATGAGAAGGGTGCCGGAAGGGGTGCATGGCCCGGAAGTCCAGTGCAGCCAAAGAGAGGCAAGGCAGGGAAGGGCGGTGAGAGATGAAAGAGATAACCCTGATTTAGACACGAAACTTCCTCCCATTTCTCAGAAAAAAAGGACTCAGGGCAACAGGAAAACTTACTGTTGACATGGAGATTCATCAGGACGTACGCGATTTAACGGAGACCATCTAAGTCACCGCTGAAAGGCAGGACGGCATAGCCAGGGTACTTGGCTACCTGCCTTGACCTCTCTATATGTGCCTCAGTTTCCTCCTCTGTAAAATGGGGGTAGGAAATAGAGGTTTGGCGAGAAGTGAATGAGGCCAGTGTTTGCTACTCTTGTTCGGACTTGCCCGAAAGTTCCATGCTTAGGCTCCCGTCTAGTGGCCTGCGGGGGCTGAGGGCGATGTGCGTCTCAGTTCACCGGGTCATTTCCTACAAACCTGCTCCACCGCCCCTAACCCCCGCTAGGGATTTCCATGAGGCAGATGACATCTGGGGAAATCTGTGCCTCCTGGTGGGGTTGCCCTGCTGTGTCGCTGTCTCAGTCTCTTCCGGCCTCTCCCGGGCTGGTGCAGGGGCCCGTGCAGGGGCGGCGGGCGGCTGACGGATCGATGAGGAGCTGGGGTTTGGCCCGGGCTGGAGCACGAAGAGGCTCAATCCTGGCGCCGGGGCTGGATCCCAAGGGAAGAGGCTGCTGTGGTGGGAAGAGGCTGGGAGCCCGGGCCAGCCGGCTGTGGTCTGAGAGTGCCTGCTGCAGGGAGCGCCGTGTGCCCCGAGAGGAGCACGGCTGCAGTGGGGGAGGAGAGATAGGGGAGGAAGAGATGTGGCTCCAGGAGGGATGGGAATGGAAGGGAGGGGGAGGGGAGGGCCCTGGGTGGGGATGGGGGGAGGTCTTGGGAGCTGAGGCCTAGCAGGCTGGGCTGTGTTCCCCCAGCGCAAGGAGGCAATGGAGGCGGGGTCTCTGACGACAGATGGAGCAGGGAGAGGGGATGCTGCCAGGCTGCGGCTTCCTGGCGAGAACCGCACACGCTCCCTGGGTTCCTGCCCCCTCAAAGTTTCTGTGCACAGAGTCTTCCCTTCCTGCGGGGGGGCTCCGTCAGTGTAAGGTCCTGCCTTCCTCAGGCAGGCCAGTGTCCCGTCCTGCCATGCTGAGTGCGTGAATGGATACAGGGCTGAAGAAATGGCTGGGGCGGGGTCTGGGCAGAGAAGGCCAGGGCCGCCTTCAGAGGGTCTCCTGGCTGTTCCTGATGGCCAGCAGGCCCCACTCCTAGGGACTTCCTGGGCCGCCCCTTTCCTGGTGTGGGGGTGGTCTCAGCTCCAGCCCACTCTCCCCCACTTCAGACGGTGAGGGCACCGACCTGTTTGCTGTGGCTGTCCATGAGTTTGGCCATGCCCTGGGCCTGGGCCACTCCTCAGCACCCAACTCCATTATGAGGCCCTTCTACCAGGGCCCAGTGGGTGACCCTGACAAGTACCGCCTGTCCCAGGATGACCGCGAGGGCCTGCAGCAGCTCTACGGTATGCGGAGGGGGGGGGGGCCTGCTCCAAATCAGGGCGTCGCTTGCCCTTGGCCTCTGCAGCAGGGCCAGGGAACCCACACCCATCTGACTCTGTCTCCACAGGGAAGGCGCCCCAAACCCCGTACGACAGGCCCACGAGGAAACCCTTGGCTCCTCCTCCCCAGCCCCCAGCCCTGCCCCCGGACCGGTGAGTCCCCACCAGCCACGGGAGCTTGGGTGGCCAGCTGCCTAGCCCGTGACAGCTCCCTGTCCTCTGGGGATGGGATGGTAGGAGTTCCCGCCTCATAGGACTGTCCTCAAGGGTAAGCAAGGAAATAAGGAGCCCCCACCCCTTTGCTCACCTGTCCTTCCTGCCCAGCCCCTCGGACCCGGTCCCTGATCGATGTGAGGGCAATTTTGACGCCATCGCCAACATCCGCGGGGAAACCTTCTTCTTCAAAGGTGGGCCACTTCACACCGTCCCTGACCCCACACGGTTGGCTTCCCACCCACTCAGGGCAACCCAGCCAGGCTGTGGCCTTTCCCCAGAAGTCGGATTTTTACTGCTAAAAAAGGGAAAGCTTCACCCTAGATCCACTGCACCCTTCATTTCCAGAAGGAACCCCCCCTGCTGTGGGAGGGGAAGACCCAGCCACATACCGGGTGTTGGGGGAGAAGACCGACCACCTCACGCCAGCCCCTTCTCCCCCCACAGGCCCCTGGTTCTGGCGCGTCCAGCCCTCGGGCCAGCTGGTGTCGCCCCGGCCTGCCCGGCTGCACCGCTTCTGGGAGGGGCTGCCCCCCCAGGTGCGGGCCGTCCAGGCCGCCAACGCCCGGCACGGAGACGGCCGGATCCTGCTCTTCAGCGGTGAGTGGGGGCTGGAGGGCTGGCCAGGCCTGGCTGGGGAGCCCACCCTGATCGCGGAGCCTCCTCCCTCCAGGCCCCCAGTTCTGGGTGTTCCAAGACCGGCAGCTGGAGGGCGGGGCGCGGCCGCTCACGGAGCTGGGGCTGCCGCCGGGAGAGGAGGTGGACGCCGTGTTCTCGTGGCCGCTGAACGGGAAGACCTACCTGATCCGGGGCCAGCAGTACTGGCGCTACGACGAGACGGCTGCGCGCCCCGACCCAGGCTACCCGCGCGACCTGAGTCTCTGGGAAGGGGCGCCCCCCGCCCCGGACGACGTCACCGTCAGCAACACAGGTGCGGGGAGCGCGGGGAAGAGGCCGGAGCCCCTGGGACCTGCTGGCCCTGGGATGGGGCGGGGCGGGGGGAGACGCGGCAGGCAGCGGCGGGCTTCAACGCTGAAGTGTCTCCTGCCCCGCAGGTGACACCTACTTCTTCAAAGGCGTCCACTACTGGCGCTTTCCCAAAGGCAGCGTCAAGACCGAACCGGAGTCGCCCCGGCCCATGGGGCCCATGTGGCTGGACTGCCCCGCCCCCAGCTCTGGCCCTCGGGCACCCCGTCCGCCCAAAGCGACCCCCAGGTCTGGACCTTGCAACTGTCAGTGCGAGATCAATCAGGCCGCCGGGCGGAGGACCGCGCCCCTCCTGCTGCTGCTCCTGCCCCTGCTGGCGAGGGGCGTCGCCTCCCGCTGAGGGGGACGTCCTGAGCCTCCTACTCGGAAAGGGGCTAGAGCCTCCACCGCTGGAGCCCCCTCGCCTGTTCCCAGGGCCCGGGACTCGCGCAGACTGCGCGGGGCGGACCGGCGGGGGCGACTCGGCGGGGAGGACGCGGTCCCGGCGCCGCCTCCGGAGCCCGCCAGGGGGCGCCCGCCTCGCTCCCGGCCGGGCTGCCGCTAGGGGGCGCTGCGGACCTTCTCTCCCGGGCCTGGGGACAGGGCGGGACGCGGGTTGGGGTGAAGATGGCGGGTGAGGGGCAGGGCTGGGCCTTGGACTGGACACACTTGCCGCTCGCTGGGAAGAGGAACCGGGCCCCCGGCCAGCGCTGCCGGCGCAGGACCCTCCTTTTCCCGGAATGGCCTTTCTCGCAGCGCCGTCCACGCACTCTCCCCAGCCCCGCCCCGCCTGGCGGCACCGCTTCACGTCCACGTGGGTCGTTAGAGGACAGGCCTGACTGGGAGACGGAGCCCCAGCCCCGCTCCCACCCGCAGCTCCGAGTTTCCTGGGGCTTCTCTCCCTGTCCTGCTCCCGCAGCTTCCCACTACAGTCACTGCCACATTGGTGGGGACCCGGGACCGGGACCAGCCCGGAGACCACCCCTGAGGACCCATGCCCCACGTCCAGGGTGTCATCAGCGGGCGCACGGACGACCCCCGCACTCCGGAGTCCGTTGCCCTCCTTTCTGGTCACCCCCACTCCAGGCCACTCAGCCGGGATGCCACCCTGGATGCAGAACTGCCTCCCACTCAATGGGACACCCTCCTCTCCCTCATGAACCTCTCCCTGCCCGCACCCTGCAGTCTTGGCGTCTTTCCCTAGAACAGCTTGGCTCCCATCAGCTAAATGCCGGTGGGAAGACAGTGGACCCAACCCTCTCTCAGGCCCAAACGCTGCATCCTTGGCACCCCTGGGTGGCTCTAGTTCTTGGGTGAGGGGTGAGTGGAACCTGGGGCACCTCAGTCACCTCTCACGCCCCACAGATTTAGAATCTAAATCGTTGTCCCCGGAACTATACTTCTAGAATATTCCACGTCAGAATCACCGGGAAACTTAAAAATGCAGATTCCATGCCCTTGCCTTGAACCCTCACTCTAGGGGCCAGGAATCTACATTTAACTAGTGGGGGGTGGCAGCAGCAGTCTTGTGGCATTTCTGTGGCTCTGCAGGGTTCTCCCTTCCAGGGACCAATCTCCATATATTTTCTACAGAACCACAGTGACAGTCTTGGTTGAGAGGTGTCCACCTCACTATGGGTGGAGTCGCTTAGTGAGTGGGCCACTTCGTAGGTTGCCATCCAGCCTCAGTGACCCCACGGTGCTTCTTGGAGCCCAGTGACCAGGGGAGTTTGCCCCCAGTTGCTCGTGACAACCAGACCAGCATGAGGACAGAAGCCAGGCATCTTCCACCAGTCAATGAGCGAGAATTCCACACCACCAGGAAGCCGTCTGGGCCTCTGTCAGTTTTCTTTCCAAGAAGGAGGAAGGGAAACTTGTATTTTAGAAATGTATCAGCCACACCCAGAAGGACAATAAAAATGATTGGAGAGAAATCCCTTTAATTCTTTTGTGCATTGGTGGACCTGGGGTGAAGTTTGGTGGCAGGAAGTGGACAGATCTGAGTTGCTGTGCTTTGCAGAAGATGCTGGAATCCAGGGTTGATTGGGGGAGGGGGGAATACTCATATCTTTTCAGGGAAGTGGTAGAGATTCCCGGAATCGTGTACCCTCCCATTTTCTGTCCTTGTATGGCTGGCTCTGGAACTGGCACGGCACTGTGGGGTGTGAGTTTTACAATGTTAATGACGGAAAGGTTACTTTTGTCATAAACTCCTAGCTTCTGTGCATGCTCCCGCTTGGGGAAAGTCCCTAACCTCAATTCCTTGCTGTTGTGGTTTCTTTTCTCTGTTTTTATTGGTCCTGACCCTCGGCCCTTGACCACATCCCCCGTCACCTGCCTTGCCACCTGCATACCCCTGTCCCTACCCAACACTATGCATTGAATTGTGCAGTTTAATGGGTGAATTGCATGGCTTGTGAATTACATCACAATAAAGCTATAAAAACATGGTACAATCGGGAACAGAATACAACATGCCTTCACATGGTGGCCTTTGTAAGATGGTCGTGGAGGGGTCAAGTGTTGGGTGGGGTCAGGGGACTGCCTCCGGGAGACGCAGCCCTGGGCATTACCTTCGGGTGGTGCAGGAGCAGCTTCCTTCTCTCTCCTGCTCTGGGATTTAGATGCAGAGATGGCATCCGGACTTCCTGCGTGTGGAAAGGAGGTTTCAGACAACTGAATGGACTCCCAAGTGGCAGAAAGGTGACAGATGGTGTCTAGTTAACCCAAGTGAAACTTTCACCAAGGAAGTGTGATTTATGGATTCTGTCTCTCTGGGTCCTCTTCAGGGGTGTTATGGGCTGCACTCTGTCCTCTCCAAATTCCTATGCTGAAGTCCTAACTCTCAGTGCCTCAGAATGTGTCTTTATTTGGAGATAGGGTCTTACAGAGGTCATCAATTTACAATGACATCATCAGGGTGAACTCTAATCCAATATGACTAATGTCCTTATAAAAAGGGGAAATTTTGCCCGGGCACAGTGGCTCATGCCTATAATCCTAGCACTCTGGGGGGCCGAAGTGGGAGGATCGCTTGAGGTCAGGGGTTCAAGATCAGCCTGAGCAAGAGTGAGACCTCATCTCTACTAAAAATAGAAAAAATTAGCCAAACATGGTGGTGCGCCCCTGTAGCACCAGCTACTTGGGAGGCTGAGGCAGGAGGATCGCTTGAGCCCAGGAGTTTGAGGTTGCTGTGAGCTAGGCTGACAATATGGTACTCCAGCCCGGGCAACAGACAGAGACTATCTTAAAAAAAAAGATAGGGGAAATTTGGATAGATGCACGGGGACAGAGGGAGAAGGCCGTGTGCACACGACTGCTGCCACCTGCAAGCGAAGGAGCCCTGGAACAGACCCTCCCCTCCTGGCCCACAGAGGGACCCCACCCTGCCCACACCTTGGTCTCAGACGTCCAGCCTCTAGAACTGCGAGCGAACAGACTTCTTTGGTCATCCCCCCGTGTCGTGGTGCTTGTTAGGGCAGCCCTAGGAAAGGGGGCAAGGTGACGGTGGTGTGCTGAGCTGGGACGGGCTTCGCCCCCAGGGTAGGGTGTGAGGAGGAAGTGGCCCAGGGTCAGACCCAGGGGTGCTGGGAGAAGCCTGCAGGTTGCCTCAGCATCACTGCCCCTCGGCGCCCTTTGGCCCTGGAGAGGTCAGGACCACCTGGTCTCCCGGGCCATCAGTAGGCTGCCCCATCCTGTCCCGCAGGCCTCCCGCAGGCCTCCTGCAGGCTGACCCGCATGGCCACCAGCCTCACTGCACAGCCCCTGGCCTCAAGGGCCACCTCCCCTGGACCAGGAGTTGTGACGAAAGCTTCTCTGGACTCTGGAGCCAGGACCCCTCCATGCGAGGACCTGGTCAGCACGCCCTGCACTTCAGCCCCACTCCGCTGACTTCACGCTCCTGAGCGCAGGAACTTCCCGCCCCCAGCCCCTCCCTCCTCTGCGCTAAAACCTCCTGGAGCGGCAGCCAGCTGGCCTTTGTGAGAGGACTAGGACGAGGACAGGGGGGAGAAGGTGACTGTCTCAGTGGGGTGGGCTGGGTTGTTGGGTCATCCCAGGAGGGAGCTGGGGTCCCTGAGGCTAATGACAGGGGCCGGGGTGGGGGGATGCTTCTCTAAGACACTTTTCCTCATACCTGTTCCTCCCCTAGAACCCTACGCTGCCAAGTGCTACTCCAGGGTGGGTAAGAGCAGGTGATGGGGACAAGCCCGGAGCCCCATTGCCCCAGAGCGTGCCCCTCCCCCCAGCAGCACGGGTGCCAACTCTGCTCTCCCCTCCAGATCCCCCTGGCTCAGTCCCACTCACCCCGGCCCCCTGGGGAGGCCACTGTCGGGGGGGGGGGCAGAGCGGGCTTCACAGGTGGGCGAGCCCCAGTCCCTGATGGCCCCAGCATGGCGGGGTGCATGCTCGGCTGTCACCCTCTTAAAGTTCTGGGTCATCACTGATTAGCAGCCCCACAGGCTCGTTTTGCTGCAGGCCTCTCACGTCACGCAGAGACCCTGGTTGTGGGGCCAACGCTAGTCTGGGAGGGAGCTTCCGGGGGCCACACTGGGTGCACTTGTGTGTAGGAGTCTGGAAATTGGCGTGTGCTCTAAGTACTTCCCTGTGTGCGTGTGCGTGTGTGCCAGGGCTAGGTCAGGGACGCTGAGTGACCGTGCAGCTATGGGATAAGGTGTTCTTCGAGAAATTAGACCTTACCCCTTTGTGGAGGTCTGTGGGATGAGAGGAAACACCGTCCCAGCCCCTCACACCTGGGCGGCCTGGGGAGAGGGGCGGTGCCTTCCTGGAAACTCCCCACAGAAAGCTCCTCCCAGGAGCCGGCCTGGCTGGGCCAGCCCAAGAGCAGGACCTGCACTGGCCTGGGTGTCCCTTTCTCCCTACTGGGTTGCCCTCCAACCTCCCCTCCCCTGCCATGCCCCCACCCCAAAGGTGAGGCCGACCAGTCCTGCAGGGAGCTCTGGGACCTGTGACCATGGGCTTTTCCAGGGTGCAGGGGGTGATCTGGAAAGTGGCTTATTCCCACTGGCTGGCATAGTATATATATATATTTTTTGCCCTATTTCATGTGAAATTGAGCTGGCAGGATGGTACCATCACTGACTCAAAGTGTGCAGACAGGGGCCCTGCACAATCTGGGAGTGGCACTGACCACTCAGCAGGCTGGGAAGCCAGGCATGTCCAGCCATCAACCAGCCTGGGGCCTTAAGACCTGGACCCAGGGGAAGTCTGCGGGGTACCTCCTGCCTCCATGGGTCCAGCCAGGTGTCTGCAGAATGGCCAGAGTGCTGTGGGCCGGCAGGTTCGCAATTGGGAGGAGTGGCTGGTTACAGGGTGGACCCCACCTGGTACCCCCAAATCTCAATCAAGCACCTCAAAGAGGAATGGCCACTGTGCAGCCCCCCAATCCCTAACAAGCCCCTCCCCCAGCCAACTCTCTTGCATCCTTGCAAATGTTTGTGTGTGTGTGTGTGCAGCTTGTCTGTCGGGGGTGGGGGAGGCGTCACATAGGGCCTGAGTGTAACTGTTATTCCCACAGCTCAACTTTGATGCCAATAAGACTTGGAAGGACAAAATGGTAAGGCTCTTCCTCACGCGTGCTCAGGCTGCTGGGTGGGGCCTGGGTTCTCAGCCTGTGCAGCTGAGGACGTTCTAGCCCATCTGGGACCCTTTGGCTCCAACTCTGCCTCTCTTCACAGTGCCAGGCCTTAGAAAAATACATGGATGCTATGCAAAGTCAAAGCGCAACACATAAACAGGTAGGTCCATGGACCAGCAGGCTCCAGGTCAGACGTCCCCACCCCCAGGCTCTCCACAACATGGGGAGTGGTTTCCTGATGACCATGATGAAGCTCAGCTCGGTGACCCCTACACTGGACAAAGCCTGCAGCCCTGGTGCCTCGCCAAACACCTGCGGGCAGACGAGTGCATGGGGGTGGTGGGGGGGTCCCATGGAACACTAATGGCACAACGCAATGCCAGCCCCCAGGCGCCTGGCTGGACCCGGTTCGGGGCTGTGGGGGCTGAGGACCGCCGAGAGCGAGGGGGCGGGGCCCTGAGCTGAGCCATTCCTTCCTAACAGGTCCTGTCCAGCCTGGCAGAGCTGGAGGTAAGGCGTCCCCCACCCCCACCACAAATCTTAGTCCCCAGGACATGGGCTCCCCAGGTTATTGGGTCTGGGTTCCTGGTCCCCTTGTGACTCATCTGGACCCTTGGGAGGTAACAGTGGGGACTGCAGCAGGAAAAGCAGGCCTGCAGCTCCCGGCGCCCTCCTCTTCCCAGGACAAGCTCACTGAGAGCTCGCTTGAAGTCCTGGAAACTGACTACCTGACTGATGACCTGGTGAGTTTGAGGGGCCCACCTCAGCCCCCTGGCCTCTCCCTCAGCCCCTGCCCTCTCTCCTCTAGGTGTGGGCCAGCGTGTGCCCAGCCCCGCACGCTGAGATGAGGGCTGCCACTCCCAGCTTCCCCCAGCACACGGTGGCCAAATCCCCGCCCTCAACTCAACCCAAGATTGAGCCCCAGTGGGCTGGGGGACACGCAGAAGCCATCAGCGAACGGGCAGATACAAGTGTCATGGCTGTGCCACGGAGGGGAATTCGGGCTGGGGCCTCTGGGAAAAGCCCCTCTTGTCTGTGTCTGTGGGGCTTGGGCAGGAAGCCAGCTTCTGTGGCTTCTGTGTCCCAGACTCATGCAAAGACTGAGAGGCCTTGGCAGGGTCAGGGCCTGGGCTGCACCTCCTTCCCCCCTGCCCTCCAGACCTCGGACGGAACCCCGTTCCGCAGGAGTCCGCTCCTCTGTGTCAAGAAACAAGGGGGGAACTTCGCTGCAGGGTGCAGAGGCCCTCCGTCCCACAAGAGCCAGCGGCCCAGGGGCCCGAGGCGGTGCTGACCTCGTTCCAAGCGATGATGGAGCAAATGCTGAAGAGGTGGCAGGACGCGCTGTCCTGGGTGCAGAAGCAGCTGTCAGCCTGTGCCCAGAAGGTGGCCCTTGCGTTGACGGCCATCTGCAACGTGTTTGAGCGTTTCTGCTGCAGCGTGGCAGGGGTCCTCCAGTTATCCCTCCAGGTCTAGGGAGCCGGGCCAGGCGGACTGAGGAGCGTGCTGACACACCTGAGTCCCCAGTTCTCAGAATGAATCTTCTGACATGGCCTTTGCCCCCCTGCTCACCCCTGACCCCTTCCCGTGGCCCTTCCCTCTCCCCATCCCACCCACCACGCCCCCACCCTGCTTCACCTCCCTACTGCAGTCTGACCTGGAATCTCGCCCTAGTGTCTGCATAAAAAGCTTAAATGGAATCCAGCGCCTGCCTTGAGCCCTCTCTGACACGCAGGCCCAGGTGGAGGGCTGGGGCAGGCGGGAGACAGAGGGCCCCACGGTGACAGGCAGAGGACATGGGTCAGACGGACCCAGGCCGGGCTTCCAGCCTTGGATGAGCAAGGACGAGCCGCCTGACCTCTCGTATCTACAAGGGGACGTTGGTCACCACAGTCAGTCACAGGCCCGGAGGATTTCAGCTGGGCCAGCGCGTTGCCCACCGCAGCAGGGGCTCCCTGGACGCCCGCTCCTGCGGCAGCAGGGGCCTGGGGTGGGAGGGGGCTTTGGCCCCATGTTTTTCATCTCGTGACACCCCCTTTCTCCCCTCAGCACTCCAGCTGGGCTGAGGCAGAGCAGAGGGGACTCAGGAGCAGCCCCACTTGCCAAGGTTGAAGGCAGAGGAGGGAGGAGGCCTCATCCCTGCCTGCACCTGCAGACATTGGCGCACTCAGGGCGAGGCTGGGGGAGAGGCAGCACCTGTCATTTCTGAGGCCACATTCACTCTTGTCCCACTTCTGGCCCCAGGCCGATGCACACAGACCGGAGGAGGAAACACTGGTGTCTGGGGAGGAGCTGCTGGGGTGTGTGGAAGGATACGGGGAGGCGCTCGGCCCAGGGGCCAGGAGGCCGCACAGACCAAGGGCATTCGGGCGGTCAGTGGTCAGTATGCCACTCCTTTCTCTGGCCTCTTTGCGCCATTGGAATGAGTCCCACGGGGCCAGCTGGAAGCCGAGCAGGGGAAATGGCTGGACAGTGACCCTGACAATCCTGAGGGGCCCTTCTTGCTTCCAGCCCCTCCCCCAGTAGGCCTCGCAGGGCTGCAGGGAGGTGATGGGGGGGAGGGGTCCTGCTGGGCTCCCCTGGCCCTGCCCCCTTCCTGAGGAAGAAGGCAGCCCAATCCGGCAGCTCTGTTCTGCAAAGCCCCAGAGCGTCCCCAGTCTTTCTTCCTTCCCATCCTGGAGATTCCTCTGACCGCCCTTTGAGACCGGAAGACACATCTCTGGCCTGAGCCCCTGGCTCTGAGGGGCCGCTACTGCCAGGTCCTGACCAAGCCTCTCCTTGTCCTTGGCTGTGTGCTCGGATCTCCTCCCCACCATGTTCAAGCTCTTTCTACCCTTACCCTGTGCGTCTCGAGTGACACCCTGCCCCCCGTCAAATCTCCACTCACCCTCTGCTTTATGTCCCCCACTTGGCTTCTTCTTACCTAGAAAACCTTCCCACTGTGCTGAGGTCACCAGGGGCTCTCACAGCCTCACTGCCCTGTTGAGGCCACTGTCACTGTGAGCCTGGGTAACTGCAGTGGCTTCCTAGCTAGTGTTCCTGGCCTTGCCTCTTCAAGCCATTTCCAGCCAGTAGCCAAAGCCTAAATGACTTTATTATTAAAAATGAAATATCTCCCTGCCTAAAAACCTCTCCGGGTCTTCCTACTGTGAACGATCCCTGGCCCTGGCCTGTCTGGCCCATGTCACCAGGCCCCCGCAGATCTGCCAAGCTGCTCCCTTTCCAGGGCCTTTGCACATGCTGTCTCCTCTGCTGGGCCATCCTCCCCTGTCCTTCCTAGGCTGCACTTCCCTTGTATTTCAGGCCTCATTCCCCTCAATAACCAAGCAGTCCCTGGCATGCAGCAGGCGCTCAATACACGCGTTAAATGCTGTGGGCGCTCCGAACTGCTCATTCTCAATCTCTAGTAGTTGACTAATCCTCTCTCCTGGAAATGTTCTCCAGGGTCTTTCATGAGATGAATTTGTTCTGTGACATCTGGTGACTCTCTGCACCCCAATCTTCCTCTGACCCTCCAAAGAGCTGGGCCTTCCTCAGGCTTGGAGCTTTCCTGCCCAACTGTGCTCAAGAATCATCTCCTCTTCCTGCCAGACTTTGGGACAGAGCTCCCTCAGTTTCTTGAGCTCTGAGTGATGAATTTCGTCCCTTTCAACATTTGTCAAGCAACAGTTACATGGCGGGCTGGTGGGGCGGGGTGTGGAAATATTTAAGACACAATATTTTTGTCCTTGAATAGCCACAGACTAAGGCAGGAAGTGTGTGTGCTCAGGGGCTGGGGGGCACTATTTTTCTTTCCTAGGTTTTTACTATTAATAGAAGTCACGTGACTTAAAATCTGAACACCAGGGGGAGGCAGGCCAAGGCAGCAGGTGGGTAGAGCAGGAAGGCAGGGCACACACACCCAACCAGCTCTGGTTACGAGGAGTGTGGTGGTGAGCAGGTCCCCAGCAGACGGCCTGACTGGCCTACAGGCGGGTCTGGTTTATCTGTGAGCATTTGCAGTTTGAACTAGTTACCAACATTCCAGAAAAATTGGACCTTTCCCATAGTAATACAGAATCTGGAATTTTAAATTTTATTCCTTTTTTTTTGGAGACAGAGTCTTTGATCTGCCACCGTGGGTAGGCTGCAGTGGTGTCATCGTAGCTCACTGCAACCTCCAGTTCCTGGGCTCAAGTGATCCTCCTGCCTCAGCCTCCCGAGTAGCTGGGACTGCAGGAAGGCACCACCATGCTTGGCAAATTTTTTCTATTTTTGGTAGAGGTGGGGGGTCTCTTTCTTGCTCAGACTAGTCTCAAAGTCCTGACCTCAAGTGATCCTCCCTCCTTGGCCTCCCAGAGTGCTAGGATTACAGGCTGAGCCACCGCGCCCGCCTCCATTTTAATCCATTTAAACTTAAAGAGGCACACGTGACTTGAGAGTACTCTGCCCTCGCACAGGACAGACTTAGGGGTAGACTCTGTCCGAGAAAAGATTCCAGGGTCAGATTCCTTGATCCACAGCTGGCTGTGACGGCTGGCACCCTGCCCCCTACCCAATCGCTCTGGTTGGCGAAACTCCCCCCTCCTGCCTGTTCCCATGCAGGCTGCTACAAAAGGTGCAGGAATGGAGGAGAAAGATGTCACCGTGCCAGAGGGAAAGATGACGGTTGGCATTTTGGTAGACTCACAAAGACTTAAAGAGGGGCCGCTTTCCAGAAGGCCGTTTTACTTTGGGCATCTGGAATACATTGCTGAGGCCGGAAGCAAGGCCTCGGGCAGGAAAGTACAAAGGTGGACGTGGAGGCAGAAGTGGGGCGTGGAGGGAAGGAGCATCCCTGCGAGTCTCAGCTGTCGCGGGGAGGTGCGCGCAGGGTGAGGCCAGCGGAAACACCGGCTAAGCTAGTACAGGGTCTCGCGTGCGTGGGTTCGCAGGTGGCGCAGCAGGTGGGAGTTGCGGCTGAAGCTGCGGCCACACTGCACGCACGAGTAGGGCCTGGCGCCCGTGTGCACGAGCAGGTGGCGCAGCAGGTTGCAGGTGCGGCTGAAGCTCTTGCCGCACTCCGTGCACTCCTGGGCGGGCTCGGCCTGCTCCTGGCCCGGCTCCGCGTGGGTGGCCAGGTGCCGCTGCAGGTGGGCGTTGCGCCGGAAGCTGCGGCCGCACGTCGGGCAGCTGTAGGGCCGCTCACCTGTGTGGCTGCGGCGGTGGCGGGCCAGGTTGGAGCTGTTGCGGAAGCGATGACCGCAGGTGTCGCAGGCATGGGGCTTCTCCCCAGTGTGGATGCGCTGGTGGCGCGCCAGATGGGCGCTCTGGCTGAAGCCCTCGCCACACTCGTTGCAGCGGCAGGGCTTCTCGCCGGTGTGGCTGCGCTGGTGGCGGGCCAGATCCTGCGTCTGGCTGAAGCTCTTGCCACACTGGGTGCAGCGGTGGGGCCGCGGGCCGCCGTGGGTCAGCAGGTGGCGGGCGAGGCCGGCCCGCCGCACGAAGCGCTTCCCGCACTGCGGGCAGGCGTAGGGCTTCTCGCCCGTGTGCACCCGCTCGTGGCTGACTAGCTGCGAGCTCTGGGTGAAGCTGCGGCCGCAAGCCTGGCACGAGAAGGGCCGCTCGCCCGTGTGCACGCGCCGGTGGGCCACCAGGTGCTCGCTGCGCCGGAAGGCCTTGCCGCAGTCGCCGCATGCGAAGGGCCGACTGTTGGAGTCCGGGCGGAGGCGGTCCTTGTCCCTGGCGTGGATCCGTAGGTGGCGCTTAAGGCTGGAGCGGCGCTGGAAGGTCTGGCCGCAGTGGGAGCACAGGACGGCCAGCTGCTGCACCTCCGTCACCTCTGTCTTGGTCTCGGGGACGCAGGCGGGCTTCTGGTCCTGGGCGTGCGCCAGCAGGTGCTGCACGAGGCTGGCGCGGCGCTGGAAGCCGCGGCCGCACTCGGCGCACAGGAAGGCGGGCTCGGAGGAGTGCGTCAGCAGGTGCTTGCTCAGGTGTGAGCTCTGGCGGAAGCGGTGGCTGCACAGGTGGCAGACGTGCGGCCGCTCGTCCGTGTGCGTGCGCATGTGCAGCTTGAGGATGGAGCTGCGGCCGAAGCTCTTCCCGCAGCTCAGGCACAGGAAGCAGCGCACGCCCGGGTGCGAGCGCAGCTGGTGCGCCTTGAGGCTGGCGAGCTGCGGGAAGCTCCCCCCACACTCGGTGCATATGAACTGCGTCTCCGGGTCTGACTCGGGGGCGCCCCCGGCCACGTTGACCTCCACGACCTGGCTGCTGCCATGAGGGGACCCTCCTCCACCAGTGTCACCGGCCCCGGAGCCGAGTCCGAGCGGCTGGGCGAGAGGCTCCGCCGGCACCGCGGGACTGTCTGCCTGTGGCTCTGCAGGGACAGCTGAGGGCCAGGCGGCCCCTCTGGGCTCTTCTTGTTTAAACTCCTCCTTGTCTGGGGTTCTGCTTCCAAAGCCTGGAAAATAAGTAAAAGCAGGGATGGTCCGGCCTATTTCAAGGGGCTTCTAGGAATC